CAAATTTGCCCCCCCCCCCCCACTATATGTTTATGTGTTGCCATTCACACAGCATTTTTATGAATAATTTATTTTAAAAATATTTCTTCTTTTCTTATGTTTGTCATGGTCCATTCTGGGACATCACTGTAGCAGTGTTATTGACTTGTCATTATTGTATCCCAACACAGGTTGAAAATCCCTTAGAAGAAGCTATCAAGTTTCTTACACCATTAAAAAGCCTTGCAGCAAATAATATACATACGCATCTACTGGCATTTGAAATTTATTTTAGAAAAGGTAACTCATCGATCAGCCTTGTGTTGTCTGCATGTTTCCTTTAACCCCTTAATATCTGGGGTAATCAAATCTTTTCTGACCAGATCAAATTTTGAAGTGTTGGCATTCGTAAGTTTACTTAACATTCTTTTTAACCAATCTGCATACTAAAACATGTTGAAGTATTGCCAGATCCCCCAATATTTTTTATAGTTGTCACATTTGTCATACCTGCTCATTTTAAAGTGACATTAAACCCTCAGATGTTTTTAACATAAAACAATACTGTAATGTGTGCCTTACTGTAATCCATGGTAGTTTCCCTTCTCTTTGCTGCTCTTCCTTTTTAAATCTGTATCTCTTCTCATGCTGGGCAGAACTTCTGTTTTACAGCAGACTGCCTTGTCTCTGAAATGGATACATGGTGTCTGTGTATATGTTCACAACCTGAGCCAGCACTACAGGAAGAGGCACTCAGCTGCAAAGGGAAGTGCTCCCCCAGCATGAGAAGAGATAAGGATTTAAAAGGAAGAGCAGCAAAGAGAAGGGAAACTACCATGGATTACAGTATTGGTTTATGTTAAAAAAATCTGAGGGTTTAATGTCACTTTAGGTTTTTTAGCATCATGTCAAATGCATAAATTAGTCCATAAACATGAAACGGCCTTCTAGAATTACATTTTCACTTTTCCAATCATTTGCTTCAACTTATGTATTTTGTACTTAGAAAGTGTCATTTTGTTTTGCGCTACATAAATTAGGAGAATAAATGCATTAGAATAGCCATTGTAATGACGTATGTTTATTTTATGAATGGGTAATTTAGGTTGAATAGTCTTTGCATACAAAAAATTCATATCACAGTGGTATGCATCACTCCCCAGTCAGACAATATTTCAGATGGGCAGAGAGAGGTTTCTTAGGAGTAGAGTGAAACCTGATCATATAATTGTGGAAAGGAGCAATCATGGGGAGAAGAGGTAGAACAAACTGATTGTGGACCAAGGAGCGAAAGAAAGAGGTGTAGAGGAAGTAGAGTAGAATCTGATCATAATTGGAGAATTAGAGGCAGTTGACATTAGCAGCAACTTATTGTGGCCAGGGAGCAGTTAAGAGAGGTAGGGGTGCAGATTGAAAGAGAGATGGAGGGGGGGTGGGGGTGCGCAGACTGAGAGAAGAGGCAGAGGGGAGTTGACCATGGATGGGGGGAAAGGGGCATATGCTAGAGAGTGTAGACAAAGTGGTAGCACATCATGGGCAGGGTATAGAGGAAGCTCAGAAAGACCTAGGGGTGATCCACTGGGAGGGAGTAGGGGCTGATTTATAGGCAGTGTGGCAGAGAGGGGAAATCATAAGTAGGCAGAGCAGGACCTGATCATGGACAGGGGAGAGAGGAGGTAAAACAGGAACTAATTGGTGGAGGGCAGAGAGGAGCATTTGAAGACGTAGAGCTAAAGCTGCTTAGTGAGGGAAAGAGGGCGCAAAGTGGGAAATGATTATGTACAAATGGAAAGTGTTGCTTATTCAGTAAGGTAAAAGTCCACATGCAAAGCACAGTAATCCATGGAAATAAATCAAAATGTTTGTGTCAGTAATTGAAATCTAGCTAAATGCTGTAGATTTCTGCACTGTGCATATCATCATCATCATCATCATCATGGTTTGCACTTTGGTAAATACTCCGCCATAATATAGTATACACTTCTATGCATTTGAATAAAATCACAATTTTCTTTTTTTTTTTCCATAGGAAAATTCCTTTTGATGTTGCAGTCTGTGAAAAGGGCATTTGCCATTGATAGCAATAACCCCTGGCTACATGAGTGTTTAATACGGTTCTCAAAATCGGGTAAGAGCATGTTTTTTTTTCTCTGCCGAAATGTATATACCTGGTCTGTCTTTGCCTGTAACTGATAGTCCTTTTCTTTTATTTAGTTTCAGATCACAGCAATCTCCCTGAAATTGTGAATAAAGTCCTCTTACATGAAATGAAGAGTATCTTTACTAACAAGGATCTGGAGAGCTTCAATGAAGAGTTTCTCAGAAACAATTCTACCTCCATTCAGCATTTGCTTTCAGGTATAGTGCCCTTGGTGCAATTTACCACTGGTGTAAAACACATTTGTATTGACAGAAGCTTAAAGGGTTCTTGTAATGAGTTTTCCAAAACATAAAATCGCTGCTACATTTACTGCAAACTTCTCCAGGCATCTGCACTTCAGTTTCCAACAAGAGGGCTCCAGGAACCCTATAATCCAGAGCACTCTATTATGCAAACACTGACTAGGAAGTCAACACATTGCCCCCCATCCCTTACTCGCTATTGATTGCTTAATGTGATGGCCAAATCCCCTAACCAATATTGAGTCGCAGGAAGGGAAGGCCAACTGCCTAGTTGAAGTTGGTGATTGCATAATATAGTGCTCTTGCTTTTGGGGGCTACCAGATAAATTAAAATGCTTATTTTTTCTTATGTTTAAACAGTAGAGACAGAATATCAATAATAATATGCTGCTTGTGACACCATTCATTTTTTAACCTATTTCCCTGATCAACTTTGTCACCTTTTCTCTAATGATTCTTTTTACAGGTGCAAAGATGATGTATTATCTCGACAAGTCAAGACAGGAGAAAGCAATTGCCATAGCTACAAAACTTGAAGACACTTTAACTGATAGAAATGTCCAGGTAAGGCTAGCACGTTAGTGGAATAGAGACCCCTTATGGCTGAAACGCAAAATGAATTTGACACCTAAACTCCTGAATTTGTACGTGCTGGAGCAGAAAGCTTTAAGCTTCTTATGATGACACCTGTTTTTATATTACCTCTGTCTTTACAGATATCCTTTGCTTTATAATGATATAGGATTGCTTATCCGAAAAGCCTGGGACTAGGGCCTTCGAAAAATAGAGCAGGGCTTAAAAAGATATGTCAGAAGTCTGTTTGCCTGTAGTTCAGCTTTAAACTTGCCCTACAGTATCAGACTAGTGCAGTACAGTTGCATAAAGCAGTAAAAGCAGCCTAGGCCATATGCAGATAGCTTTTTTTCTTTTCTTTTTTTTTTTATAAGGTCACAATGTACATACAAGAACAGAGTATGGATATTCTTTTACAGCTTAGTACAAAGATATGTGACTTATGTTGTTTTTGCCATTGTGCATAGCACATATATCCACAACAGTGTTGATTTGACAGCAATTTATTTAAGAGAACACAAAATTTTATGAGGGGGACAAAAAGAGAAGTTTGGAGCATAATGGTTTTAAGGGGTCAGCCCCAAAAGGAAGCTAGAGCTGCTCTATATAGAACTGACAGAGTACAGTATTTACTTACCTTTTCCATTATTCTTGTACAGAGTCTGACACAGGTCCTGGAAGCCTTGCTTGATGGCAGCTTTGGAAGCTGTAACACTCAGTATGAAGAGTACCGGGCAGCCTGCCATAAACTTTTCCCATTTACACCTGCCTTTATGTTATCTGCAAATGAGGAAGACTGTAGCACCGGACAGATAAACCACACCGCCATCAACCACGATGTACTCTGCAACGAGCTCTAACACAGTCAGCAAGACTTCAGGACACAAATGTTCAGGGTTCACGTGCATTAAAATGCATGGCAGATGTGAATGTGGTTCGCTTTGTTGTCATGGCCTTTTGGCCTTCCATTCTTTCTCTCTCTGAGCCTCCCAAAGAAAGGCCAATAGATCATTATCTGTTATGTTTGCAAATGTACAGTTTTACTTTTTTTCCTGAAGGAGTTTTTAGATTACTCCCTCTGCAATATGAACATTAAGACAGGGCAAAATGCTTTCCTAGAATGTTGCAAATCTAGTATAATATTTTGCATCATATGTAGCAGTTTTAGTTGGGGGCAAAAAAAAAAGTACTCTGAGCTCAAAGGTTTTTACATTTTTTTGGGATTGATTTTAAAAACAAAACAGTTGACAATGTAATTTTTATGACTTCTCTTTAAAACAATGCTAAGTGTCAGTGACCTGTTCAGGGTAGCACCTCTGCCATGTGCTCCCAGCAGGCGTACTTGTTTGCCAACCATACACAGCGATCAAACACCAATCACTTTATAATTTTAAAAGAGAATGCAACATATCAAGGAAGCAATATCAAAATGGAATGCCTGTGTTTTGTTGTAACTTGTGTGCGTTGTGAGGAGCGTTTTCAATTGGCTTTTTAAACTGGTCAGCCAAATAAGCTGTCCCCGTGGGTTTGCTGTTGTTTTCCTTGTTCAGACTCATTAATCTCATTGTCTTAAATATAGGTTGAGAGCAAAAGAATGATGAGGCCTTCTGCAATGAAGATGATATACAAGTGCTATAATTTTGCTCAAACCACCTTTATTAATGCCTGTATGTAATATTTTAGGAAGCGTAAAGCTCCCATTGAATCATAATTGCCAAGGTGGACCTCAAGCCACCCATTCTAGGCCAGGGTGCTGAAGTTGTTCTCAAACCAACCTTCGAGATCTTGTAATAAGTCATCACTTCTGCATCATATGCAGGTATCCACCAGTCCTGAAGCATTAGACCGGCTACTTGTGTACGTACGTGTATGTAGAATATCTCTGTGGTCAAGATGGTAGTATAGAAAATGTTGGTGTGACCATACAAGACTGCACCATGTATTGATGACCGCACACTAGGTACATTTAAGAGCAGGCCTCTTTTCTTAATTGTACACCATAGGTGTAAGCTAATTTTTAGACCTCTAGGTTATGCAGCGAACGCCAGGTGATTGGACACTGGCAAATCAAAGCTGCAAGACATACCTGTATAACCCCACCTACTCCCACCTTGCCTTGTTGTCTTTGCTTGGCTCTGAAGTACTAATTCTGCAAGATTCTTCAAATTTTGTTCTTAATGCTTCTCTAAGCCACTGCAGCGCCTCCAGCAGCTGTTCGCATTGGTTTTCTTCTCTGCAGTGCCTCGGTGGACCGTACCCAAACCTTCTGGAAAGGAAGGTGCAGGGCTGGCCTGTAATGTGCTTGGTCACTGGACCCTGTATTTGGCACCCTCCTTGGCACTTTGTGCAGCATGTGTGGTTAGCTGTAGGGTGCATTATAGGTCCAGGGCTGTGGTCCTTTAATGGAGCCCTCACCCTGAAAATCATTCCCTCAGGGGGTATGCCCACCTGGAGGGCGAAGATCGGATGGCATGTCCCAGCTCAACACTGCACATTCTGTCAAGAACCAATAGCTCGTCAGGTAAACTGCCGTCATGACTCCCTAGGTAGCCAGTCCCTATAAGGGTTAATTCTGAAGCTCTGGTCTGAGTTCACATTACTGCACATTAAGGATGGTTTAGCTAAAAGGCAGTTGAAAGCTTCCTTTTTGTTTCACTGCTAGCTTCAGGGTCCTCTTCTGGACCATTCTCCTCTGATGCTATTTAGAGAGCAATTTACCATGGTTATTGCAGATTTTATGGTGAAAATGGTACTTCCAGCCCACCTCTCCTGCACCCTCAGTTACTTTTACCTGTGTTTTTGCTTCCTGATAGAGAGGAAGGATCTGTCTCTAGTTCTCAGGAGCCCTCTCATGAAGAGGACCTGTTCTCTGGCTTTCCCCTAAGCTCATGGACTCTACTTCTGTCCTTGTGGACACCGTTCGCACTTGTTTGCAGTTAAAACCACCTGCGTCTGCCCTTTCTAAACTCAAATGTTTGGAGTCTTTAAAAACCTAAACAATTTGCCCAGTGGGTATCCTATTGAGGATGGCTTCCTTAATAAGTTGGTGGACTCTGCCATCTCTTGCCTGAAAAAGACCCTTACGGTCCCTGTAGAGGATGTCCTGTTCTTCAACCATGAAATCTGCCATTGCCCGCCATGGCATTTTGTCATACCCTGGTCCCAGGCTATTGCTAGGGACCCTGGGTTGATGCTGACAAACATCAAGGAAGTAACAGGAGGGAGAAAGCACTTCCTTACCTCAGAAGAAGCAGAAGACTCCAGTAGCTAAGTTCTCCGCTTCCTCCCTTTTAAAAATAATTCCTTTCGTGCTTCCCAAGCACCAGGTTTCAAACCCAGAAAACCAGGTGGGGAGGACATCTGTCAGCCTCCTTGACTCTCTGTTCATGGAGCATTCCCAACATCTGGGTCCAGAGTGTCGTTACACCCCCTCTGACACTACAAGCTGGAGTTTCCTTACCTGTGGCTAAATCTCATTAGAGGGGGAAGTTCTCTTCGCTGTCTTAAGGGACCAGGTCCAGGGATCCTCCAGCCTTTACAGTGGATGTAATCAGTTTTAAATGACCTGCACTTTACCTCCTCTGAAGCTTTGTCTTGCCTCCTTCACAGGATCAAGATGCAGGACATTCAGGGTGGAATGCTCCCAACAGGCACAGGTGACCCTGGTACATTGCTCCGCACAGGTGCTCATTGCTCCCAACAGGCACAGGTGACCCTGTTACATGGACATGGTCAAACTCCTGGCAGACTCTTCATGGCCTCTTCTGTACTGGTCGAAACCCCTATCACAAGGAGTAGTATTCCACCCTGCTTCTCAGTTGCTGGTTTAATGTCCTCAACGGCCAGATGGGCAGTGACCTTTCAGATGCCGTCATTTCTAATGCTTGGCAATTGACCTTCCACGGGCTCTACCATTGCACCTAGAAGGCGTACTTTGCGTTTTTTTTTTTTTTTTTGGTGTTCAATAAGGATGAGGTTGTGTTAAGAACACCTTTCTCCATAAAGTGGTCTAATGAAATTTCCGTACAAACTGCACTAGGAGTGTAAGTGCTTCTTGTGCTTTTCAACACCGGGCCTCTAGCTCCCAAATCCATAAGGCCACAGCCTGGTCCTCATCACACACTTTTGTCAAGTTCTACTGTCTGTTCTTCTTCCACTGATTTTTAGTTTTGACCAGAAGATCCTTCAGGTGGCCCTGTAAACCAGGGCCTTACTCATCTTCTAGTTCTCTGTTTCTAGTTCTTGCTCACTGTTGAGGTCACTTTCCTTGGGTCTGTCAGCCATTGTTTTGCCAGCCCCTCTGTTTGAATGCTTTTGAATGTCCCTGTGGTCTAAGAATTAACTCCCTGTCTCCTTCAATGTACGATCAAGAAAACAGGATTTTTGTCCGGCCTTTAAAATTAATTTCTTGGAGGACCCTCCCCTCTGTATCCTATCATCCACGCTGTCCTGATTGCTATAAAACTATTGAAGGGATTATACAAGGATTTCCTACAGCTTTAATTTGAGTCCATTCCCCTAAAGGTAGCTGTATAACCCAGTAGTATACGGATTAACTTCCATTGTCTTGTGATGTACTCCAGGAAATTGATTTTACAGGTAAGGCAAAAATCTTGTAATTTCATTCATTGTAACCTGCAGCAGTTCTTTTTCCTTCAGTAGATTCAGGAGCACTATATAGACAGTGGGCCTGATTTACTAAAGTATATGTGCTTAAGGCAGCACATTGTCTACAAACAATCACAGAATGTATGCGTGCGTTCAAACGCTACAGAATTTAATATTAAGTGTGCGTTTATATGGAATGTACGCTTTATCATCCAAGCCTATGCTAGCTAAACTACGGCATGTGCAAAATAAATTCCGTTTCATTCTCTTTAGTATTTTTTTTTTTTTTATTGATGTTAGCATTTTTAAATAATGCCACATAGGAATCAAAATGAAAGCTAAAAACTTAATTCATAAAAAGCATTGCAGAACCTTATACATTGGGGTATTATACTGTGCATGTGCAGATGTTCTTGAAATAGCCAGCATATTCCATATGTTTAGAATAGGAATTGTAGTGATCAATACCTGTACATGCCTTGCATTTTGGGTTTGCTTGGCCTACCACTTTCCTGAATGCATGCACATTTTTTATTGCTTAACCAATTGATGTGCACATTCCATTGTACACCTTTTAGGAACAGAAGGCACATATAAAGCAACATTTGAATGTTTAGCGCACGCAGCCAACTAGGATCGCACTGTTTGCATTAAACATCAGTGTATGAACTGCTAGAGAGGTTTAGGGTTCTTGATCACTATGCACATACAATCAGTGTGTAATAGCACCCTAAGATACATGTGTACTGTACTATTTTCTTCCTGCTCTGGTTCATTTGCTTTAGTAAATCAGGCCAAGTGCTTTGTTTTGGTGCAGACACAAGTGCTTGAATTTTTATCTTGTGAAGAAAAAAAAAATACATATAAATAAGAACACGTTCTGTGCATTTTGTCAGGAAAGGCCAGAAGCACAGTAATTGACTTTTCTTTCAGCATGATCAGATCTGGGGCTGATCGCCTTTTTTAGTCCTTTTCAGCATCTCCAAATCTGATGGCTTTTCAGTCTAGTAATCATGCCTCCATTGCTTTTTGCATTGTTGCACTAGGATAAAACCTAGATGAGGGTCTGTTCAGCTAAGAACCTGATGAGATGGAAACGTATTGCCATTTATTAGAGCTAATCAGGGTGCTTTTCCAGGTATTTATTTATCCTGTGCTTCTGGCCGTTATTGCACATTTCTAAGTGATATGAAAATCTGCAGATGGCCATTGTGAAATCTCTGATAAAGTGTGCAGAAAGAAACGTGCATACGATGTTTATATAGGTTTATGAATTGTATATAGTACATAAAAGTGTATAGAACTGTCAAGATTTACATGGGTTGGAAACTATTCAGGGAAGGAGCATGTTTAATGTTGCATATGTTAGACCTTCAGATAAGACTGGTGTAAATGGTTCTGAGATTAAAAGGTCTACTCGTCATCTGCCAGTTTGATAGTTCTGAAGATATAACCCCTCATATAGCAGAAGTTGCACTAACCTGCACTCTATACTGACATAGTATTAGATTGTCATCAGAGTGTGTAGGTTACATGTTATACCTAACTAACAAAACATTACAGCTTACAGGATCGCATATTTGACGAAGCCCAAGCAGAGGGGAGCGTAACTGGCAATGAGTATTTATATTCCCATTGGAGTCTTGGGGAACAATGAGTTTTAGGTTTTCCTAATGAAAGCTTGATTCAGTTAAAATGATCATTATTTATTATAATGGCCAGAAAATCAGGTTAATTCATTCTGCCGTTCTAATAAAGTGATCTCTGGAAAAGGTTTCATCATGCTGTCCCCTTCAGTGTGTGGTTGTGCCCTTACGATGGCATTTTTTTTCCCAGGGGTTGTGTGTAAGCCCGTGACCATGTTAACTCACATTATACAGTAGTGGCATCCATAAAACTTCTGGTTACTCCCGGGGGTTGGTTTGAGATCTCAAACTTTTATCAGCCTGTATTGCAGAACATGTTTTATCTGTTCATTGCATTGGATTTGTGTGCATTCATTGCATTGCATTGGAGTTGTGTGGCATTCATAATTTCCTTTCCTTTACAAAACAAAAACAGTTGTTTTATCACACTTTGTTACATACGTTTACAGCTGTACCATGTGTTATTATAACCTTTTTGCATTGCTACAATGAGGTTCTATTTATTTCATGTGATATGAATTTATAAATAAATTCTTTGTAAGAGTATTGGCTCCGGTTTTTTTTCTCCCCATAGTG